AGGGGGGGGGGGGGGTGGGGCGTAAAACAAAGTGTGAGTAGATTATAATCATTTATCAAGTAAAATAATTTGCAACGTACTAACCCCCGTTTTGGAAATACATACATAGTTGGAAGACTACATAATAGTATTTAGTACCATAATAGTAAATGAAAATCACAACCAATTCATGTACCAAAATTTTCAGTAATCATACATGTATTCAATTAATCGCACTAGCATCTACTAACATAAGTATAGCATGCAGGGTATGCTAGTCTACTAGCTGAGTTCTCTACCGGTATCAATAAGTAATCTAGCCTCTGCAAGAAATATAACACCTATAAATAATTTACGACCATAGCTATACAAAATATCACATGATGACCATGTGGTGGAAATAAATCACCAATGTGTCCACTCATTGATAATGCGAGCATAATCCATAATAGGTGCCTTTGTCCATAATTGTAACCTTTATAATTGCACCTATAAAATAACAATTAGATTTACTAAGCCTATTATAACATTTCACAATTTTATTAACAGCTTTGAATTAGCCTAAACAGACGGCACTACGCGATTCGGTACATCAAAAAACTTAAAGTAGGTCTGAGTCCCCTACACGCTGCCACACACCCCCATGGTGGCGTCACACGCCATCACGCGCAACTGGACGTGCCGCCGTTGCACGCCGTCATGCGAGTACAGCTGCAGTCACCGTGCCGGTGGCCACGAGCCAGTCATCGGATATAGTTTAAGGTTTAATGGAATATATCTGATTTCCATTGAAGATTATGTTATGTCTAACGGACGCCATTGCTTGTCGCCATTAAATTTAACGGCGACACCGTTGACCATCGCCGAAGCTCCAGAAAAGACTTAGAACTCGGACCAGAGTTCGAATCAGCTCGATTCTTCATCCAAATTTTGACAGAATTGTACAACAAGTTTTAGAAATTTACCTAATCCTCGATATGAGTTGATTTGGGACTGATTTGGAACGGGTTTATTGTTTCACCGTTTTCTAGAACCGAATTGTAGAGGTTAAAAACCTCAGATCCATTTTGGATCTTCACCAAAATCATACCAAAAGTTCAGAGTACTTACCAAAACATGAAGATTTCGAGTTGAATCCATCCTGGATTTGATGAAGCTTCACTAGACATCTTCACCGGAAAACTGGAGAGTTGCACAAAGGTTTTCCAGAGTTAAAACCTTTGAGTTTCTAATTAAAACTAAGATTCCAAGTACGAATTCCCTACCTGGAAAATATTGAAGATGATCTCGAGCTCGATTAGGCTCAGTTCTTTCAAGTTCGCACTTAAACTTGCAGAATGCCTGTGTAGTGAGTTCGTGCCTTACCTAGTAACAATTTTCATATGCAAGGGCAGCACCATGCTCACCAAGCTTCACAGAGTGGGGTTGTGATATTTTGAGAGACAAATTTCTCTTGGATGGTGAAGGTTATGGTGGTTTGGCACTCGGCTAGAGAGGGTGAAGGAAAGAGAGGTTGCATAGTTAGAGAAAGAGAAAGTCTCGTGTAAATAAGGGAGAAGAGGACCGAGGATGAGGATTAAGGTACCGTTTGGTACGCAGACGGGATGGGTTGGAACATGACAGAATGAAACGGAACTTTATGTTTGATATGCGCATGATGGGACGGGACAATTGTTCCGTTCTGTGTTTGGTAAGCGCATGACGGTAAGGAACTAAAAGATTAAACGACTAACTTACCCCTATTCTGCTTGTTGTTTGGTACAATTGTGAACACGAAAATTCCTAAAATAAGAACACATGTGTAAAATATATTTTGTATTGATTTTGGGGTTACAATCTCTTCTACGAATTTAGCCTCTGATTCTATCTTCGTAAAATGTAGATATGTGGATGGGCTGTTGATCCAAAAGGTCGTCGGGGGTTTGGTCTAGGGATGAACAATTATGCAGATTTATTGATGTTGTTGATCCAAAGGGCCGTTGGGGCTTAATCTTAGGATGAACAGTTGATGAACGGATCTTCAAGGGCTTTTGGGCTTGATCTTGAAGAACGGGTTGTTTGTTGATCCAAAGGGTCGTTGGGGCTTGATCTTGGGATGAACAGTTGATGAACGAATCTTCAAGGGCTTTTGGGCTTGGAATTGAAGAGTGGGTGGGTGGATTTGTTGATGATGTTGATTCAAAGGGCCGTTGGGGCTTGATCTTAGGGATGAACATATGATGAATGATGAACGCTTTCTTCAAGGGCCGTCGGGGCTTGATCTTGAAGGAGGATTTGACGAAGAATGAAGAGGGCTTTCTTAATCCTTTGGGATTTGCTTGAGAGCTCTAAAGTTTCAAAGCTTCAAGGTTTTGGTGTGATGTCAATTGGTGAAAGAAAAATGAATGAAATTGGCTTCTATTTATAGAAATTTTCAAGGCCTAATTTTGAATATAATATTTAGATGAAATAAATCATTTCTGCCAGGTGTTGACATATGTCCTATTTGATTCATTTCGATTTTTCGTTGAGTCACATGCTACATGTAAAATTTATGTGACACGTGAGTGTTGAAATTTTATTTATTGGTCAACATTCATTTCACCGAAATTTCGATGTCTACAGATGCCCCCACTTCAAGGTGCGTCGCGTACATGTGCTTGTCACGTGTAGGAGATGTGTTTTGAAGTCCCTTAATGCAGATGTCGATCCAAGGGCTGTCGAGGTTTGATCTTGAAATGGACTAGAAATTTCTTCAAGGGCTTTTGAAGCTTGATCTTGAATTAGGCTGAAAGTTTTCTTCAGGGGCCGTTGAGGCTTGTTCTTGAACTTTGTTTGAAATTTCTTCAAGGGTCGTCAAGGCTTGATCTTGAATGAAATTGGACCACAAGGAGCTTCACGTGGTAGATCTTTGCATTTGTTAACTTTCCACAGCTTTGATCTTTAAACGGGGTTGGAGGATTTTTCGGTTTCCTCCAATTGTTGACTTTCCACAGGCTCAATCTTGAACTGGCTAGGGGGTTTCTTCTGTTAGAGTTACACCATATGTCTGAATTTGCTCTTTTTATCTGGAGCTGAACTTGATTCAAGGGTGGTGTACATTTGATCTTAAACAAGACTTGTGATTTCTTCAAGGGCCGTCGAGGCTCGTTCTTGAATGGAATTGGACCACGAGTGGTCTCACGATTCGGATACATGGCAGGCAAGTGCGAGGTGGAGGTGATGGCCTGTTTCTTTGTTCAATCTTTCCAATTCATATTGAAGAGGGTTAGGAGATGAATCGGCACGTGTTTTGTTGTGCTTGTCTCCACATGCTTCAATGTATCATTTTCCCTTGCCTCATTTGTTCTCCAGGCAGATGTGGTATCTTCTGCTACCTTGTTTATTTCCCCAGCAGAGCGATGCTAGGTAAGCAATCAGGGAAGGGTTCCAGGTAGTCGGTTCCTGACTGGAAGTTTGACTTCAAGTTCCGAATGATTGCTCTCTTTCTCTTTATCCTGCAGGTAAGAACAAGGACAAAGAAATGGACAGGGAAAAAGCATGATATGAGATACTCTTGTTTTCGAAGAAGTAGTGGTGATTTGATAGCGTTGCACAACGAGGCTTTGCTCTTCGGTGATGGTGCCAGCGAAAGGTTGTTGAAGCTTTTCGAGCTCTTTGATTAGAGCAACGATGCCGAGCTTGGTTTTGACTTAAACTCTACCATCTGGATTATGCCATTCTGCAGGGAAGGGCGTCATACTATAGTGATCTGTTCCAGCTCATCATTGATCTTTATGCTTCAATCTCTTGCCGTATTTGTTCCTGATGAAGGAGTTGAATGCAACCTTTGCATTTAAATGGTGCTTCAGAACATTACTTCTCAGCAACAATGAGTACTCGAGAGCAACACAAGTTAAGTAACCAGGCAAAGGTTCCAGGCAATCAGTTCTAGGTCGGATGTTTAATTTCAGGTTCTGACTGATTACTCTCTTTCCCCTTGTCCTGTAGATAAAAGCAAGGGCAAAGGAAAAGACAGGGAAAAAGCATGATATGAGATACTTTTGCTTTCAACCCTGATGATATGTGATACTTTTTCTTTGGTGTCATTTGTTTGCAAGGGTATTCCCAGAGAAGAAGAAAACTGGGCATTTTGAGAGGCTCTACTGGGAGTGTACTCTCGGAGGTGAGGAAGGGTTTGGGCATTTTTTGCAGGTCTGCCTTGCCATGAAAGACGAAGGTCGACATATATAGGGATTTCCCAATAGCAAGTGGTGGTACTGTTCTTTTATATTGTTGGCAACCATTGGGTAATTGAAACAGTAAGATTCACGCGTTTTCAAATTTGTCAGAAATATTTTAACAAAGTTGCCCATAATGTCCGCAAAGCTAAGGTTGCGTGTGAAAGGTGCTGACAAGTTTTGATCCTACAAATCCGGCTTTTGAAATTCAGAGAGTGATGACTCCTTGATCCTTGAACAAGCGGCCCGACTTTTGAGGTTTGGAAGGTGATACCTCTTTGATTTTTGAACAAACGCCTTTTTCATTTCTGAGCAAGCGTCTCTTCGATTTCTAAGTGAACAGCCCTGTTGCCCTTTTTTTTTAATTTTTTTATATAGAGGCAACAATTGTGTTTTAAAAGCACGCTTGAGAGTTGTTGCCTGTAGAAGCTACCCTCTTTGTATTTCTGAGATTTTGATTCATCTGACCTTTTTTTCCTTCCTCATTTTTGCAAATGGCTTGCCCGTCTGATCGTTGTCTTGATTTGAATGTTGGGGAAGATGCCGACATGCCTTCTCAAGACAACATATGGCACCTATCCTTTGTATCCCCCAACGGTTCTCTTACAGTTGGGGACTCTGTGATGAAGAACGACATAACCGCTACGGTGGTTGCTAGAAATCTTCTCACCCCCAAGGATAACAGGATCCTTTCCAAGCGATCTGATGAGCTGGCAGTTCAAGACTCTTTTGCTTTCAGTGTTTAGTGTGCGAGCTCTGTATCGAACATAGGCCAATGCTTTCTTGCTCGAACTCGTCAAGTTGAGTCACTTATGGCTGGGGTGGCGAGTCTTAAGCAAGAGATTAGAGGGCTTAAGCATGAAAACAGAGACTGGCACATGCTTGGCAATAGTTACTCAACGAGCATGAAGAGAAAGCTTGACCAACTTCAAGAATCTGAAAGTCGGATTCAGAGTGACCATCAGATGTTTGTGGCTTTACTCCAGAGGCACCTATTGCCTTCGACCTCTGGAGTTTTACCGAGTATTGAGGCTCCAAACAATCAACCTCCGGCGCCTCTTCTTCCTAGAGTTCCGCCGAGTGATGAGGCTCCACCTGATCAATGAAGGCTTCCTCCTATTTATTTGCACATTCTTGTAAAACAAAAAAAATTTATTTTTTATTTTTTATTTTTTACTCATGTATATGCACATTCTTGTAAATTTTCAGAGATATCAATAAATGAGTTTTCTTTCATTCAACTTTTTTTTTTTTCTTCTTCTTCTTCTTCTTCTTCTTCTTTTCTTTTCTTTCACATGGTGCTGATCCACCATTCATTATATATATATATATATATATATAATTTTTTTCTTTTCACATGGTGCTGTGCCCCATCCGATAACCTTTCTCCCCTTTAGATGGTGTCTGATGCACTCCCCATTTTTTGTTTCTAACTTTCAATGATTTTGTCGCCACCATGTTTATTTTATTTTATTTTTTAATTTTTTTAATTTTGTTATTATTATTATTACTTTTTTTTTTTTTGACGTGTTAACAGTAATAGCCAGCATTTTTTGCATGGTGCCACTGCCGATGCACCAAGATTCCACCTCCTCTTTTTTTTTTTTTTTAGAATAGTGCCCATGCACCAAGATTTCACTATATATATATATATATGTATATGTATGTATGTATACATATATATATTTTGATGGATGTTATTTGGCGCGCTAAACATTTTTTACTATTTTTTTTTTTATTCTTTGACGGACAAGTGAAGTGGAGAGCATGGGTCTTCCTCGCTGCATTGCATCTTTCTCTACATGCAGACCATTCTTATCTGCACAGTCACTGTACCATTCTTTTGCTTTATTGGGTTCTTCTACACACACACACACACACACATATATATATATAGATATGTATATATATGGGATCGAACCGTCACTACTCGACCATTGCACAACCACTACATTGCTGCCTTGCACCGTTACTGCATGGTCGTCCGTGTGCCGCTTACTGAAAGCTCAACCATAGTCATTTCATGTTGCGCTGCCAATCCTATCTCTTGCTGCACTTTGAGCAACTCCGACATCTTTTTATCCCACTTATCTCATCTCTCGTGGATTTTCCTTGCGAAAAGTAAGGCCTCTTTTGCATCCCTTGCTTCCTGAAGCCTCAATATCTCCAACAATATTCTTAAAGACCTCTCCCATTCAGCCAGTTGATCCGTGGCTTGTGGTGCACGCAGCAAGTGCTGGAGCGAAGGTGTTCAAGATGGCAAATGTGTTGCAGTCTAATCTGTTAAGAAAGAGATCTCTGATTGACAAGGATTGATTCGGTCAAATATTGTAAAAATAATATTAGTTATTTACTTTCTTATTTGGCTCCCAGTTAGCCTTGATTGTAGGCAATAGAATAGGAT